TCGGCTGTGCATCGCAGTTCGACACCCACTGTCACCCCCACGCCACGATGAGGCGACCGACCATTGTGGGGGTTCGGTGTCGTAACATTTCCACAGAAGAAAATTCAGTCGATTATCCATTCTCTGGAAATGCAGCATTAGGCATTCTTTCGTATTTAGTGGCGCATGTCATAAAGGTTCGGCTAAGGAAGTGCAAACCATTTTTTGCGAGAGCTATATTTGTCTAAGAAAGCTACAAGAGTCGGATGACGGGAACGTGCTGTGTTGATCAGTGTTCCGTACTACATTGCTCTTGTTTCGTGCGCAGTGCTCGCTATGCGTGAATCTTGGGTCTTCAATGATAATAGCTCTGATGGCTCACCAATCCACAAATGTGAATATGGAAATGACGAGAAATCGAAGTAACCGCAAAATTTTTTCAAAGTTTCTATAACTTGCGCGACAAGCATATAGTAGTTTGGTTGCTGACCGAATCCTTGACTTTGTTAAGATTACGTGGATATTCATAACTTTGAGATGTTTGAAAGGGAAAGGCAAATGACTTTCAGTCATTACAGTATTAGATTCAGTGACTTGCACCTACAGAACAGTACACTGAGCATCGACTGACGCTGCAGCGCAATAGCAAAATCCCTTAAAAAATGCCAATTGATTTCTTTAGTACCATTTGTTGGAAAGGTCAGTTTATTTAATCGTTTCTGCGTTTTATACAACCATGAAAACTTGCCGGCTTGATCGCACTCTTGTGAAAGCTTTGTATGAATTTATGATGCGCTGCAGTGCAAAAACACTTGCAATGTTATGGGCGTCTTTCTTATGTCCGTAAGTCATGCTTGCACTTCATCACTTCAATCATACCACTTTGAACGCACTGTTTGTGCAAAAACTCAATTTGTAGCGAATATTTACCGGGGATATCTGCTATGTCGAGCCCGAAAATCCAATTTGAATAGCGCAAAAACGCCGAGAACAAGCGTTTTCCGGAGTTCCACAACTTGAATTTGGACGAGTGGAACAGTCCTCGTTAATGCTGGGAAGCAGACTTGCTGTGAAATCCTACGAGTTTAAGTATGGCGGCATGCGTGCACTGCCACAGAGTAAAAAAACTCACATGTTGGCCAAGATCTCCCCTAAGGCATAAGCTTCCCAACTCCCCAGCAGTATTTCTCGCTTGTGGTATACCGTTCTGGCCGGCACTTGCACAATGGCGTGTCCGAGAGTGTCCACTTTTGAATGAAAGTAGAGTCCCAAAACCGTTAGCTTTGTCCCGACCGTGTTGACGTCTCGACAATTGCTGCTATAAACTTCGGTGGCTGCGATTTCAGTATTGAATGGCAGTATCTCAGATCTTCAAAAAAAGTACTCCATTTGATGTGCTATAATTTTTTGACCTGCAGCATTGCAAAACATCTCTAAAAAACGAAAGCATGAAAGCTTATCTCATTAGAGATACAGCTACAAGTTAGGATTTTGTGCCAGATTGGTGAAGCACTTACAAACCCACTTACTAGAATGATAGTTGAGAGCTGCGATAGTAAGGCAACAGTTCTGAGAGTATGAAAGCAGCGCTGCGCTCTGTGCATTCCTTCGCGCTTATGTTGTTCCACGTATTTATTCCGAAAGATCCCCAACGATAGCTTCTCGTCTCACGACCGTTGACCCTCCTATTGACCTCGACGCCGCCGTGGTAGCGGATCTGGCTTGTTATCCTTCTGTCAGGGCTGCTTTCATCAGACTGCGTAATAAAGTTATTTCTATCATTCATATGTTATGTGTGGTCAGCTGATTCCACGACGCTCGCGTTTTCTGGTAGCAGCGATCTGCGCGGTAGATAGAACTGGCCAACGGAGGTGAGAGAGTTTTTTTTGCAGTTTGTTTCTTTTCATTTTTATAAATTTATCTTTTACCAACTTTGATGTACCCAAGCCGTCATTTTCCTATTCGTTTTTGTTTGTAAGATTGGTGAATTCGCATGCGTCCAGACTGACAGATATCTGAGGATAAAGATGTGGTATGTAAGTGTTTGAGTTGAGCGAGGCTCCCTGATAACACTGGTGACCGGCTTGAGATGAGCTCTCCCCGAGGAGTTTGTGCGTTGCCCGACACGAGGATTGGTCTGTTGCTGCCCAAATCAAGCGTGGCTCTCTGTGCAGGTAGTTCTCGATAAAATCACTTTAAAAGCCGAGTATAGCATTATGCCGATAGGTAAGTTTTTCTGTTTTCTCTTGGGACTGGTTGCCCCGAGTTAAACCTCATACTTTGCCGTAGCACACAGCTTCTTCTTTGGTGTATATGTATTAGGTTGGCACATAAGTAATGCAACTTTTTGTATAACTTTTGTCTATTTGAACGTAGCGCATTCATTTTTTGGCAATATAAGGGAGATGATGTAAGCTTCTAATGCACACATTTTTGCCGAATTTTACCATCTTATGTGAGGATTAGGTAGGTTTACGGTACTATGGGAAAAATTTTACAATGCATCAGATTTTGCTGAAACTTGGCCTATAGGGCTTATTTGACATGCTGATCACAAAAATGAGATCCGTTTAACATGAAAAGGCCTCGTTCGTGAGATCAAAAAATGAATTTCACTTTAGCGACAAATGAATATGATATTCGTGTTTAACGCATAGGATTACCCTATAGTGCAAAGTTATAGCGAATTCTGACTTTTCGCAGCTTAGTTATTGACAAATTGCCTTCAAAACTTGACGCATTTGACTTGTTCAACTTCTCAAAAGCGCCTCACCTTAATTTGTGTTTAAATTTCATTTCTTTTTCACTGATTCCAATGTGCCAACTTCCAGCTACATGCTGCCTATAATTGCTTTTTCATATGTTTGAATCAGGTTTCGTAGGGCTTCATGTTTGCCAAAAAATCGTGAAACCTCGATTTTCAGCAGTTTTCAAGAAATACTTAAATTGTTTGTACTACGTTATCAAAAATCAAACGGTTTGCGCAGACTTGCAGCTTACATGACGATCTACATGATGCCACAAAATGAGATTGCTACAAAAAATAGGAAAAAAGTTACGGGAAAAGTTGCAAAACTTATGTGCCAACCTAATATAATTCATTATATTTACGGTAATCAGGACTCCTTGTAGGGTTGAGTACCCTAAGCCTACTTTTCAGTATGTAGCATGACTGTTCAAGCATCCTCCATCGAGTTATCTCCTCGCGTAGTGAAATCTGTTTTTTCTTTGTCTTGAGCGTTGGTCGCTTCTGGGTAAAAACTTATACTTCAATTTAGTTACATTTTTTTGAATTCTCCGTGTTTCTTTCAAATTGAAGTTTCTTCTTCCAAGTCATCCCCTCATCGCTCTCCACAATCTCTGCCCTTAGGACATCAAGGTAGGGCAAACAGCAGATTGATAGGACTTTCTTAATCGGTTGAGCATTAATAGGCCTTCTTTGCTTATTAGTACCGCTATCCTGGCTCCTGCATTCAGACTGAAATTCTTTCCTCTAAAGGCAGTGGCTCGGCAAAAACAAACATCTCGAAATTTTGTTGTAGAAGGTTGCCTGCATCCCAATCGTCCGAACAACAGAGCAGGTCCGAGCGCACTACATACTGCCCCTACCCAGAAAACTGCCCCTAAGCCCGTGCGCGCAAACCATTCTTGCACGCGCTTAGACAAGCTTGCGTCCCCTCCCACCGTCAGAGGCGGCATGCCGCAATGCTACAAACAAGAGGATCCTCCAACGACTCTACGTCTCTAACCATTTCGGGGTGTGGCCCACTCGTCCACATTCAAGATGATAACCCCTGAAGTGCTGGTTTCCGACACTTTCGTGCTCTTCGAGGTGTATTTTCGAAATCAGCGCGTCGAATCATCCCAGGTTAGCCAAAAACTCCAGGTCGAGAATTTGCCGAGCTACTGCTTTTAAGGAAATGGCCTTTTTGCCCCCTCCTTCCTTCCAAGTGCTTTCACATGCCACTTCACCATCTCCTCTCTTGGATATTTCCTTTCAAGTCCATTCGCCATCAACAGCATTACTCAAACCGGACAGCTAACGACTATCATTTTGCAAAGTAAATGTACCACGCTACCATGGACCAATGTACCATGGAGAACTTTCTGTAGCTCCGTGTCAGCTTATTAATCCCGCTTATTAATCTCCTTAAATCGCGCATACTCTCCCATGTCAACCATCGCGGATGTTGACATTACGTGCGCATGAGACAGTATATCACGCAAAACTTTGACGACGTTTACCTTCTGGGTCGCAAAGCATTGTAATCTTTCAAGAATTTATTTCCTCCTCATCGCTCTCCCTTCATATCCCCGCGCCTCCCCATCTCACCACGTACGGTAGTGCATAAGAATCTTTTCCCTTAGAGCAAACTATTAGAAAACAAATCAAACTAAACCCTGCTTATCTGATCTATTCATGAATAAAAAGAACGGAACCGACTTTTGCTCAGTAATAACCTCAATCTTTCCCTAAGTTCGTATTGGTCCTCTAAAACGCTCGTGTACCCACTCTTTTGACTCTGGGGCGGTTCTTCAATTTCAATCCCACAGCTAAGCGAGTACGCAACTAAAGTTGCTACTTCGCTAGCCTATCTTTTAGACGATATCGTTGTCAAAGGGTCACAAGTCATGGGATGTTACGGCACAAGCCTTATCGAACGCATGAGAGAATTCGCCTTTAGCAGCTTTGGCTAAACAGATTAAATATGTAAAATTTTCGCTGTTGCAGGTTCCCGACCATTCGTTCAAGGCGGTAGAGCAGAGGATTGACGGGATTCCCTAAGTATCCTGAATGGAGTGGTCCTGAATGGCCTGCGCCAAGAATTATCTATTCCACAGGTATGAATAGTGAAAGCCTCACTTTTATCTCAGTTTGGCTCCGTCACTTCGAGGACATTCAGAACACCCGCCCAACTCCATTGCCAACGATACTCAAGGCTTCTCACCTGATTGCCCCTCTCGAAGTGCGGCAAGAAAAAATATAGACTAACTCACCGCGGCGCAGAGGAGGACTACGATTACGGCTCATCTTCGATGCGTGCTTTCTCCAGTTTTTCGCGCATAGAAAACAGCTCTTGATCTTTTGATGCAATGAGGGTGTTCTGCAAGAAACTGACGAGTGGTGGTTATACCACAATTTTGCTAGATAACACGGGTTCTCAGTGGCACAGTTTCTGTGTGATTGTGGGGTTGTGGAAATATTTGAAGATATAGCCTTGTAACGGCATGACTCATTTAACAGTTAGACAGAAGCGTTATCGGGAACACTAATCAACAGATCGGATAGATATGTACTCATGTGAAAAACAGAAAAAGTGAAATGTGCTGATAGAAGAACAAAAGTAGGAATATTGCAAAAAGTTCAAATTGCACCTTGTTGATTAACTCTCGTTCATGCTCAAATAAAGAACTCGACGAGGACAGTTCGTTTGTCAGTCCATATTGATAACTCGAGTTGTAAGTAAAAAGAAGTTATGAAAATTTGATATTTAGTTACTCTATCCAATGAGTAAGTCATGTCGGCGACGATGTTGGTTTCGAGCTCAATTTTGCCTTTCACTATAAGCATGATCTATTGAAAATTGGGACCACAATTATCACCAACGCGCAAATGAATTGATTTAGCAAGAAACTTTTGTTGAATTAAGAGAACGGCTATAGGTTGCCGGTGGTTTCGGTGTTGTCGGGGTTGTTGGGGTCAGAGACAGTTTAGAGAGGAAACGTGGAGGCTATCATGTCCTGCAGCGACCGGCAACCCCGGCAACCTCGGCAACAGCGACAACACCAACAATACCGGCAACCTCAGCAACACTTCAACACCGACAAACACCGACAACACCGGCAACCTATGACCGTTCCCATACCTTCGGTAGTCTAGAGACAGGGCGTCAAAAGTGAAGGTTGTTTGAATATCTGACGCCATAAAAAGTGAAGGTTGTTCAAAGAAGATCAGAGAAGAGAAAATGAATTAAGACAGATATAAAAAGCAAAAGAAAATGCTGAAAATCGGATAAAAACGCTGCAACGAGGTTTGAAATCTTTCATTTGGAGGCTTTTCGAAGTTTTCCGCTCCAGGACCAGCAATTCGCAACACGGGGGAAAGCGAAGAAGAGTCAATTTATTTTTAGAGACTGTTTCAACAAAAAAAACATGCTTCTGAAGGAGTGGTTATTAAGAAGAAGATAAACAAGAAAGGAATTAGTTATAAAAACGCAAAGTTTCTTTTTTACTAAGTCGAAAAGAACGTCGAAGGCAATTTTTTTGGTGCGTTCAAATTTTTACCCCCGCATTGACGTTCCTGTCTCCTGGGACGTTGTTTAGATTGTTGCGCTTATTGTTCTAAGCAACAATCGCCTAAGCTGGAAAAAATCGCTGCGAAAGCACTGAAATAGAACAAGGCAAAGAAAAATGCACTTTCTACAATTTTTCGCAAAAAATTCAACCATAAAGATAAGGGCTGTGTGGTTGTCTGCATTATACACAGAAGCAAGATTTATAGAATGCACGAAAAAATCGCATGAAAAGAGTTAAACTAGGAGAAAAACAAGAGATTTTCGAAAACAAGCTTTTTGCCGGATTTCTCGATCGAATCAAAAAGTGTGGTTTTGGGACGTTGCCAGCGTGAAAATAGAGATCAAGAGCTTCAGAATGATAGGTAGCTTGCTAAAATAGGGTTTGAAACAGCGCAGAAAAGAGTACCAGAGCCAAACGCCCCGCGCCCGGCGTTTGGGGTAGCGAGATAGTGCGCGCGCGGAGACGCGGACGAGCAGCGGAGACAGACCAGAGCCGACGGGGCATTTGGCTTTGGTCGTAGATCTCAGCAAAGTCTCGACGAAACCCTGCAACATATATATCACTGATCGCCATAACACGACAAGGAGAACTGACAACGTCCCAGGCTTCAAAAATCATTCATTAACAAGATAGACCAGCGTTTTCGTGCGTGACTCTCTGCGCAAGATTTAGGCGCAGTTTCTTGTTTTTGTTAAAGTCCAACAGCTTTTCTAAACTTCTGAAACTCACTTTTGGTCAAATAAGAGGTTAACTGAAAAGTGTTGTCCTGAATTCTGGCGAAGATTTCACAGAAGCCTTCTCTTTAAATTGAAAAAAAAGCTATGAAAACGCAAATTCTCGGTCGCTAAGATAACTTAAAGATATTAATCGCTATCTTTGCTTCACTAACATTCGTTCCGATATAGTCAGGATGATAACATCATCCGGGGCTTCGCCCCGGATGACTTCTGTTTTTTTCCAGGTGAAGGTTGTGTTCCCTCGTAGCCCTCAAAGTAAAGGTTACCAGAGTACGTGGCTCTATGTATCGGTTCCCTAAGGCAACAAGGCAACAAACTATGCGAAAATGAAAGACCGTACAGGCAAACACCCGTACAGGCAAACAGAAACTATATTCGATAGTTGATGTAAACCCTATGACGTAAGCAATATCATCCTACTCACACTTCTGATACTGTTAGATTGTACATCGTTTTCCTCTACAAACTTGGACATTTCCACCTCGTACCGCTCTTTCTCTTCGATCATCTGAAACATCAATGAAATCGACTCGTTTACAATAAACGATACTGAACAGAAAGTCGCAATATTTTAACCCGTTCAAGTTTGTCGCTAAGTTGAGTAAGCTTGGTGAAGTTGCTTTCGTTCATCGCACGCGAATCATTCATCTCACGAGCACTAAAGCGTACGGTCTCCTCCAGCTGAGTTTTTATCATGACGAGCAGTAAGTTCAGTGAGGTTCGCTTCGGTTCTAAAAACAAATCGATCAGACCAGTTGTTGCAGTGTAAAGTACTACTTGCAAAACATAACAAAAAGCAATTCTTACTTTCCGCGGAGCTTTTCCACACGACTCCCCTTTTGCACAGCATCACCTTTTGCATCTTCGAGATCTTTTTGACAAGTTGTCAGCAGCTGCCGTGTGTCCTCTAACTCAGTGAATAAAGCACGAATTTATTCAGCAGACCCAGAACAGCTGCTCGATTGTGTGAAAGCAATTCATTTTTAGATGAAAAACTAGTCATAATTTGAGGAAGAACGTCCATCAGGTTCCCCGCGCCATTTCTAGTCAGAAAGCCTGAATCACCAAATTCTGTCTCATTATGGATAGAAAAAATTTACATATTCTTATTCGTCCGATAGCTCGACTGTTAACGCTTATCAGTAGCAGATTTGAAAGCAGCTGATTACAAAATTATACACCACTATAACATTAAAGCTATGTAACAATGCCATGAACCTCTAATAACTTCTAACATCAAACATGGATGACCGAGAAAAAATGATGATTTTAAACGTATACTGAAGTTGTCTGCTTAAGTCTCGCAATCGGATACCAAATATCTCAAAAGCTGGATAGTTGAGAATCATCAGAAGGACATAAACTTGTTGCGAATCGAGTTTATCTTTCTTCATTCCTCTGAATTTTCAACAAAAAGTGCAGAAAAAGTTCACCTATCTATTGTGGCACAAAAATACTGCCTAGAAAGTTTCATTTTCTGAGACAGAATGAAAAAGGCATAAATAGCTAGCAAGATATTGGAGCAAGAATTCAAAAATTGTCAAAGCCAATTATGTCTGCCCAAGTAGACACTGTACAACGCAAAAACAGCAAGTCTCTATCTAGAAATGCTGATGTAGTGATTATGGGTTACCTGTCTGACGGAATCACTACACAAACTGTGGCGTTCTTGATCATCTGTAGCAGACTGAATCCAAATTTCGTTATAAAACGCCCCGAAAATGACTTTATCAGTGAACAGGAGTAGAGGATTGATGCAAATTGGTGCTGAGGTGGACTGGTTCAGTGAATTTCGCAATCTGCAAAGAGTATAGTAAAGAAGAACAAAGTAGAGAGTAGCAGTAGAGTAGAACACAAAAGTAGTGAGAGTGAAAAACAAAAGGAAAATCATGTGAGAGCGGTGCGAATGAGTGGAATGAAAAATGCGGATCTCAAAGCCTCGTGGCTCGCGCCTTGATGTGTCCGCAATTTTTCGAGCATTACCGTACCCCAATATTTTCAATGCTTTTCAGAGTGGCAGCCACAGCTTTTGAGGAGGGGGGGGGCACACCCCATTAACTTACCTTTAGAAAGATTTTTTTTCAGACTTTTTATGTATGGTTTGGAAAATGAAACCTCGTACTATATGCAGCAAAAATTTGAGCTGGATTGTTCTTCTTTAGCATGAATAATGGTTGATAAAAGCGTTGAAACCGTTGAAATTTGTAGGTAGGACTTGGCAGTCTTTTAATTCCACAGCTCGAAGGTTTCTTGAAGTGGGATTTCTCATACAAGGAAAGAAGGGGTAGTGCTTTGTACGGAGTGCAAGAAGAAGTAGCTACTCACCTTTAATATGAAGTCAATTATGTTTGAAATTACTGCTTCATACAAGCTCGTTTACTGCTCGGAGACCTCAGAGATCGCTCAAATTTGGCGCATAGGGGTTATTCGAGATGCTGGTTACGATAATTACTACCTGCGCCAGTGCAAAGGTTCTCGAAGTGGGGATCGAACCTCAGAGAACATTCAGATGGTCTGTCATTTTATCGACCACTGCTACAATACAGTAATGATCTGCACGTTCCGGATGAGGTCCAGCAAGTACTACATTTGCCTTCCTTTTTGACTAGCTTCTTTTTAGACTATAAAATGCGTTCTCATCCTCCCAGCAAGCAACGCCGACCCCGAGCGCAGCTGTCGGCTGCTAACAGGCTCCCTAGAGAGGAAAAGGGAGTAACATAAAGACGGAGTCTCTAGACAACATCATGACGTAAGACATGCTGGTGTAAGTATGCTCTAACATTATTGCATTTTTAGGGTGCAGCGTAATCGGCCTAGTATCCTAACAGTCAAACTTCAACAGTTAGCACTCCAATGGATGCATCCTGCAGGACTTGGGCTGGATCCGGTTATGCCATCGAATCTAGCTAGAGAAAGCAGCCTCAGGAAAGCAGTGAAAGAAAACCTTGCAAAAGGTTGGATTCACTTCACATTTTGAGTTCAAAGCATTCTATACATTTAGCAGATGCATATGAGTTGGTCAAACTCCATGTAAAGAGCCACATGGTGGTTCACGGTCTTAATGCACGAAAGGACGCAGACGAAATTAAAAACCGGCTGTTGCAAGAAGAACTTGCTAAGATGAACATTTTCTTGATCGGATCTTCTAACAAGGGAACGATACTTGGTGTCCGTTGCCTTTTGAGATGAGATGTATACTATTACACTCGTCTTGGAGCGCTGATTCCGAATCTGGTTCCCCTTTTTGCTAATCGTTTCCCTGAAAAAAGTTATGAAGGATTATGACGCCAAGGGAATTATGGTCGGAATGCCAAAACCGCCACTACGATGCGATGTAGTAGCTAGTGCGATAGCCTCACAACTTAATGCACGTTCAGGTTCGAGTACTTTTATGTTCTTCAGTTTTGCATTGCCTCAATCAAGCTTCTTTTTTAAACTTAGGCAGCCTTGGCCGTATTTATCTTGGGCGTTCATTGATAAGAATCTTTCATAATTTTTTCTAGAGAAACGATTAGCAGAAACAGAAGTCAGATTCGGAATCAGCGTTCCAAGACGAGTCTGATGGTATGCGTATCATCTGAAAAGGCCACGGACACCGAGTATCGTTCCCTTGTAAGAACACAGACTAAAAATTCTCACTCTGCTGCACGACAAATCACTTCGTAAATCACTATTCATTTTCTCACACTAGCGTATGCAACCGATAAATGTGTTTTTGAAAATACATTCTGCACAGAAACCACAAGAACAACGGGCGTATGCCCCTCTTCGAAAAAAATCATTCAAATGTATCGTGCATTTGTATTGACGAAATCTTCACTTTCCCACACATCACTCGTTGGTCATCACACCATCATCCATTCACTGCAAAAGCTGCTTTTCAAGAAATTTTTTGAAAATACAACTTGTACCTCAATCAAGAGTCCATTTAGTATTTCTCTCAATTACGTTCGCTGAGTTCGAGCAGAGTCAGTAGTGGTTAGTGCTCTACAATACAGCTCATAATTCGTCAAAAAAGTCGCCGGACTGCGGCGCACTTCGTCACACTCCGCCGCAGTGCGGCAGAGTGCGCCGCAGTCCGGCGACTTTTTTGACGAATTATGAGCGGTATCATATGTAACATTGCCGTGCTGAAGGTCACGGGTTCGATTCCACTTTCCTAATTTCTGCGGCAAAAATTCTGCTCATAATTCCAGCGTCAGGCTGCCCTTCCAAAGAAGGGCATGCGACAAGCCGGCTGAGAAACACCCCGTCGCATCAAAGAGTACAGACATGTCTCATATAGTATCTCGAGTAAAGGCTAGGTCCCCTGGAAGCGACGCGCATTCGAGCCCGAGGAATTCGAATAGTGGGCGAGGGTTACCGTCTCAGCAAGGTGAACGGGGACGGCTAAAGCGGCTAGTTCACTAAAGGCAACGATCCAAGGCATCGCAGGCTCTCCGTCTAGCTACTATCATTGTGGGTCCACTAACCTCTCGTTCTCGAGAAGTGGCAGATCTTCTCAAGAAACGGCGAGTCAATGTAGCCTGCATACAGGAAACGAAGTGGAACGGGGCAAAATCGCGAGACATAGGCTAACATAGGCTAACGAGACACATATATAAGCTTCTCTACAACGGTTCCAGCAGCACCAGAAATGGAGTTGGTATAGCTGTCTCGGAAACTCTAAGGAATAACATCGTCGCCGTTGAACGCATAAGTGATCGCCTAATGAGCGCGTAAAGGTAGATACTGGGAAACAAGTTCTACGAGTCGTCACCGCCTATGCACCACAGGCCGTATGCAAGGATGATGAAAAGGATACGTTCAGGCAGGAGCTCGATGACCACAGTAACTCAATCCCGCTGGATGAGACCTCCTGCTAGGAGCAGACCTCAACGGACATGAGGGGGAAAGGCGAGAAGATGCTGGCAAGTGCCACGGAAACCATGGATGTGGAAAATGCAATGAAGAAGGTGAGCGCATTCTGGAATTTGCCTCAGCTCATAATCTGGTCCTGGCGAACACGTAGAAGAATGACCACCTCATTACATATGCAAGTGGTGACCGACGAAACCAGATAGACTTCTGAGCCATGCGACAATGTGACCTCAAGCATGTAAAGGATTGCAAAGTCATCCCGGGTGAAAGCTGCGTACCTCAACATAGACCACTGCTTCTCGGCCCCAGAATCTCGATCTACAGGCACATCAAAAGATCTACAGAGACCAGGACACGCATCAAATGGTGGAAGTTACAAACCGACGACGAGGCAAAGCAAGCGCTACTAACAACTCTCTCAAGCCTGCAAGAGAACCCAGAGCAAACCTGGGTAAGCATGAAGGGGCGGTTCACCAAGTGGCACATGGCTCTGGGTAGCACAAAACCAGGAAGGAAAAGGATCAATTGAGAAACGTGGTGGTGGAACGATGAAGTACAAACGGTAATAAAGGACAAGAGGGATGCGTACAGGCGATGGCATAAGTCAAAATCGGAAGCCGATCGTCAGACATACCAACAAACCAAGCACGCTGCGAAAGCCTCCGTAAAAAACGCAAAACAGGTGTACATGAAACAGCTCTACGAGAGACTAGAGTCTCACGAGGGAGAACGAGATATATTAGATTGTTACTTAAGTCTTGTTACACCCTGGTTACTTACAGCGATAAGTCCTACGCTTCACATTTTCACTAGGGCTTCAGGATACCATTCGATAGAGCAAACCAAGCTCTACAAAACGGCATGCAAAGGTTCGCACTGGCTTCGACCCGCCGCAAGTTTGGAGCCGAAATGCGAGTCGTACTCGTGCTCAAAAATCAAAAAAATTCTATATCTTTGTTCAAAAACATCCTACGGATCTCCCTCTTGCTCACATAAATAACACTTCACATCAGGCATTCACATATACAGTTACTGTATTTTTTGCTCAGCTAGGAGTCGAGAAAATCGAAATTTTTGTGCTTACACAAAAACGAAGCTACGCTGTTTTCACGCATGTAATTGTTTACTACAGGCCTTAAGAAATATAAACATAAATTTTTCAGCCTTTCATAAGGTCTAATTTTCAAGAAAGTTTCATTTCAATATGGAACACCCGAGTGAAGAGGGTTAAATTCGATGTATCTCGAAAACTAGCGCTTGTCAAAGCTGAAAATCTACGATGGTACTTCTTAAAAACTATAGTAAACAATAACATGTGCGAAAACAGCATAGATTCGTTTTTGTGTAAGTAAAATAATTTCGAGTTTTTCGTTTCTAGTTGAGTAAAGAATACAACAATTGTGCATATGAATGTCTGATGTGAAGTGCTATCTACTTGAGCAAGCGGGAGATCATAGGATGTTTTTGAACAAAGATATAAGATTTTTCATTTTTTTGGGCACTGAGTACGACTCGCATTTCGGCTCCAAACTTGCGACCGGTCTAAATTAGTGCGAACCTGCGCATGCCGTCTTGTCGAGCTTGCTTTGCTCTATCGAATGGTGCCCTGAAGCCATAGTGAAAATATGAAGCGTAGGACTTATCGCTGTAAGTATACAGACTGTAACAAGACTTATGTAATAACCTACTACACCGAATAGCCAGAAGAAGGACAAAGTCCACAAAGGATATGGATCACCTCCTCCATATCAAAGACAAACTTGGTAAGACGCTAAGAACCCGGCGGACATCACTGAAAGATGAAGAACCTACTTCGAAGAGATGGCCAACACAAGCCGCAGCGTCAACTCCATCCCAAGAGCTGATCCCGTAGATGGACCAGTACCACCAGTTACGAAAGAGGAGGTATGGCTAGCTAGAACGAAAACGAAGAATGGCAAAGCGACTGATCCAGATGACATAACAAGCGAGTTCTGGAAAGTATGTGGACAATCCGGGGCTTCCTGGCTATCAGACCTCCTCAATCAGATCATAAGAAGTAAGAGTCTGTCTCGTGATTGGTACACTAGCACAACGATTCCGATATGGAAGAACAAAGGGGACGTCGCAGACTTGCATCCTACCGGCCATTCCGACTGATGAGCCACACTCTAAAAATCTTCGAGCGAATAATCGAAGCGTCCTCGAGATACCATACAGTTGTTACAAATCAGTGCGGATTCGTGAAAGGGTAGGTATAGGGGCCTGCAGGATCGCGAGAGTCGGACGTGCGTACGGCCATTGCGCCGCGCACGTCTGATGTCACTAGGGCAGGTGCCAGATTCATCCGCTTCAACCGGTTCGTTCGGCTCATGGGTCAAATCACTACATTGTCCACAGAAAAGGTGGTGAACCGAATGAACCTGTTGAACAGGATAAGTCTGGCACCTACCCGAGTCGTCGGACGCCGATCTGACGTGCGCGGCGCAATGGCCGTACGCACGTCCGACTCTCGCGATCCTGCAGGCCCCTATACAACTGACGCCATCCAATCCGCTCGGATAATGATGGAGAAATATAGAGAGAAGCAAAAGGAGTTACATGCAGCCTTTCTGGACTTGGAAAAAGCCTTCAGTAAGGTGCCTCATGAAGTCATATGGTGGGCATTACAGAAGCACATGGTTCCAGAAGAGTACGTCCAGTAGATACAGTTGATCTATCACAACGCTTCAAGTCACGTGCAAACAGCTGCAGGGCAATCGAAAGAGTTCCAAATTAAGGTTGGAGTACACCAAGGGTCAGTTCTCTCTCTCTCTCTTGCTCTTCATCACTGTAATGAACGCTGTCATGGAACCACTCAGACGTGCACCTCCTTGGACATTTTTCTACGCAGATGATGTGGTCTTGCTAGGAAGCACCAGAAAGGAGTTGCAGATGAGGTAGAGAAATGGGAAGACAGGTTAGAGTTGTATGGGCTGAAGCTCAACACCAAGAAGACCGAGTATAAGAAGTGGGGAAACAGACTTCAGTAACCATATGTATCGATGGTGAAGAGCTAAAGTAGGCAACGTCATTCAAGTACCTATGCAGTCACATCTCCGCAGAGGGAGGCTCGCAAGAAGAAATCGCAGGCAGGATAAACACAGCGTGGATGAAATGGAGAGCCTCAACGGGAGTTCCCTGCGACAGATGAATGCCAGTACAGCTTAAGTCCCAACTGTATCGGACCCTCATCCGTCCAGCGGCCCTCTATGGTAGTGAATGCTGACCGTGTACGCGCGTCGAGGAACGCAAACTCAGTGTCATGGAAACAAGGATGCTACGATGGACCTTGGGTGTCACACTGAAAGACCACATCTGCAATGACACTATACGAGATCGAATGAAATTAGCCCCAATTGCCCAGAAAATGCACGAAAAGAGACTACGATGATACGGCCATGTACGCATAAGGGAGGAAAGCCACATTACGAGGCTAGTGCTGGCGGTGGAAGACCAGGCAAGAGACCCAGAGGTAGGCCCAAAATGAGGTGGGATGGATAGGATCAAGGCCGACTTGCGAGAACTTGGATTAGATGATCACCTTGCCTCAAATAGGAAGTCATGGGAAAACTGACAAGGAGAGCAAACCCTGCATAAGCGGGACCCATGCGAGGATAAAAAAAGTTCGCTGAGTTGTCAAAGGCACTACTTGGGAAAGAGTGTGGCACATCTAAAAATTTAGTTGCAGTGCTTATCCCTTAAGACCTTTTGACCTTGGATGGATACGACCCCTCCCCCTCCCTTGTCTACCCCCGCTCCCTTACACCCCCCCCCCGGTATGGCGTGCCACACTCCCCGCTTTACTCTGGTAACCACCAATGAATTAGAAATTCCATGGCCTCCCTTCAGGTGTTTCCACGCCATGCGAAGTCGGTAATTAACTGCTACTTTGTCAACATCAAAATCCACAAACACCGATCAGAGCGAACTCTTCGGTAGGTGAATTGCAACTGCCAGTACTCATCCGGTAGTTTCATGACAGACCGCCTGGTTTGGACTTTTGACACAGAGAAAGTCTGTGGATTTTAACTCATCGCAACATATCCGGTCACCTTCTTGGTAACATCTGGATAAGTGACTCCAAGGAATTCGCCCTGTCGTGGCACGATATAGCGCGCACGTGGTAGATTACGTTAAGGAACACACAAAAACGGATCAAGGCTACGCTGTGATAATCAAATGTCGCTTCCGTTGGGCATTAGAGCCTCAGGTTGGCTTTGTCACTTCCAACCAGCTGGCCGCGATGCTCCTAGCTGTAGAGGACAGTGTTGAATCTGACAAGGAAACGATCCCAACTTAAGTTGGCGGCGATTGGGATTGAACCGCATATGGTTAGATCGTCTTCACGAGCTATTACAAATTTACCTCCCATATCTGCATGCCGTTCTGTGGAAAAAATTTGAGCGGTTGGAAATTTGAGTTCATTGAGGTTTTAATGCATAATGCCTTCAAAAACCAACTTGGGAGTGCATAGCATGATATTGAGTGTACTGATTCCAAGGAATGCTCATATTCGAAGGAAGCACAAGTAAGTGTTTTTGAACAGCTAAAGAACGACTGAAGTTCTTTAACACGTTGACGACGAGCCATTTTTTGAAGGTCTGTCCCTGTGGACGAACCGTTTCCGGGCATTTTCACAGCCGGCTGCATATATGTATGCATGCATCTATGCGTGAGATACAAAAATGCAAGTGGGTGGGGAAGCTCCGCCCACTTTTGGCAAGCCCCGCCCACTTTTCAAAAAATGCTGGAAATCGCTCAAAATCAATGAATTCGTGCAAATTCCGCCATTTTTGAAAAGTGGTCGGAGCTTGCCAATCAGGGGCGGAGTTTGCCTGACGGTGGGCGGGGCCCGTATAAAAGTTACTTGAGGTCTTTGCGTTCATCTACGGCCTCATCCATGCTTTTTATGAACAAAAAGGGTCCGTGTGAGGAGTATAGAAGTGGGCGGAGTTTGCCAAAAAGGGGCGGGGCTAATACATGAGATACATCTGAGCCTATGGGCGGGGCTAATACATGAGATACATCTGAGCCTATGTTGGTTATATGAACAAAAACTGAGAGGATTGGACAGATAGTATTGAAATTAAGGCCGCCGCGCACCATTGCGCGGCGTCGTCCACAGGGACAGACTACCTGCCGCGCACCATTGCGCGGCACTGTCGTCAACGTGTTAATAGAAGCTATGAGCAATGAAAAGATCAAATTTGGCAGATATACAGGGCCATACTTCAAAAATTACTCCTTTTTTCCGTTGAATGTGAATATTCCCTAAAATTAATACACTCAAAATCATGCTAATTTGCAAGTTTAAGTTGAATTTCAAAGCAAAGCACATAATACATTGAAACCTCAATGACTTCACACTTTCAACTGCTTATAACTTTTTCGAGAGATCGGCATCGCAGACATAGAAGGTAAAATCGGAGTCAGAGCTCATTAAGACACATCTAATGGTATGCCGCTCACTCCAGTTTGCCACCTTAAAGGCAGCGGCTCGGCAGATTGACCTACCTCAGATTTTGACACAGATGGATATGAGGCCCCCAAGTGAACCAAAACAGCAAATGCCGAAAATGTGAACTCTGCAAGCCAGGGGGCGGCCCAAGCGCCGCTCCCCTTCCCCCTTTCGCTCCCCTAGCACCTTGTTCGGACGAGTATTCTCCGCTAGACGGCGCGGGACCCCCCAACCGCTTTTACGCATTGTACATGCTATACAAAGCCAAAATTACAGGCAGCAGGGTCTTCGTGCCAGGGCCTCCCGACTTTCCTTTGAAAATTTTTGTCCGAGCTGCCTTTTGAAAATTGAAAAAACGCCGCGGAAAAGGCCTTTTCACTCCTTTTAAAGCTCAGATTCGGGATCTACGAGTCGGGAAGGCCCAACATGCAAAGAGATGGAAATGCAAAATTTGCCGGGACGCTGCCTTGAAGTTGAGATCGTTTTTTTGTGAGTTACTGCATTATTTTATCGCGCTCTGTCAGTGTTATGCGATTGGACAAATCTCTTGGCACACTCCATTCACGCCTCTTCGTCAACTACCCCTACATTCACTATGAGAAGCATCCTGAACCTTTTTCATAGTGCTGCATACTATCTGGGAAATGATTTAGTTCAAATTGACCGCTGCCTCGCCATTACTACCAGCTATATTTTACTGTTCAATAGTACTGCTTTTTAAATAAATTTTTCAATCAACCTCAATAGTGACATCGTGATTCGCTCTTTGTATACGCTTATACCCTTGTGAAATCTCCGAGTCCCGCAGTTTTGGATTGTTCATCAGTCTCACACTTTTACGTCCGAGTAAACTCATCATGCTTTGACTTCGACTCATACTCTGGACGATTCCAGGAGCTTCCTGGTGGGCAAACCTTAACTATACCTCAATACGTCAACGCTTCCGCTTCTGCGATGTCTGTGGCCTCGATATTCTTCCATAATTTAGTACTAACCAACCTATTTGAGCTCACCTAAGGTCATCAACTTCAGGAACTCTGGACATCAGTTGAACAAGAGCTTTTATTGATGCTGGACAAATCGATCGCAGGGGCTAACATCCATACAACATCTCAAGTCCTGCGACTTCGTTCTCTTTCACTTCCTTCGTTTTTGGAAGTTGATCCTAGTTGACCTATGAATCACTTTTGTTCGATTATCATGCCCCTGGGCCTCCTCAAAACACTGATTCTGCTCTAATGCAACGTTGCCTGTCCGGAGCTGTTGTCTTTCACCTTTCAAGCGCCCAAGCCTCTTCTCACACCCTTGACCAACAATATCGAATTTCCGTTATCCTCCAGCGAACTTGAAGATAGAACTTGCGCGGGTAGCTATTAGTGCGATACTGCTTAGCCACCACGTGCCACTTTGTCCCCCATCAAGCTCCTACTGCCGAGGATATGCATCATTTTTCGTCGCTGAAATCCCCATCAAAATGAACAATATCAGATCCTTGCTGTAGAAGACACGCGTGCCGCGATGACGGTAACTTCCAAAATTAAGGCTCCATTTCTAGGCGTATTTCATTGCAAGCAAGTGCTATCCCTTTTGCGATCCGTGTGATAGGAATACCAATCAACCTGTTAAACCCAGCACAACTTCGCTTTCGAATAGGCTCTTTTGCTTTCGTTCTTGCTTTCTCCTACAACATTATTATGGGTAACGAACTCTTTTCGCTTGGTATTCCTATCACACGGATCGCAAAAGGGATAGCACTTGCCTGCAACTGAGATACGCCTAGAAATGAGCCTACTACAACAGAGCATCGACTACGCCAGCAAAACATTCACAGCGGCTGAACAGAAGGTAAACATTCTCTACATTTCACATGGCGTCTGCGTTCCCTACGGCGCCTTCACTATGCGACTTTCCCCGTACGCGTTGCCAAAACTACCGCACTTCTTCTAGAAGGTGAAATTTTGTGTCTTGCGAAACCGCGTCACAGCTCAGACAATTGCATCGGCAAGTTCGCGGCCATAAAACGAGTTATATAGAGCTCCGCGGCCCTTGAAATCTCAGCCACACGCCGCGGCTCTCAAAATTCTCAGTGCAGCACGCCGCGACCCTTGTATTTCTAGCCTGACGGGTCGCGGCCCTTGAATTCAGTCCGGTGCGCCGCGGGCCATGCATTTTTTGACGGGCGCGCCGCGACTTATAAGTGATCCTACAAAAAAATCCATCGGAAAAGCCGCGGCCCTCAAACTTTTTATCGGGTGGCTCCCGTTCACTGGAGAGTGCGCATCTTCGAAGAGGGTATAAGGATGCAAACAAGTAAAGCAAGAGTAATGATTTCTGCTGCGCGTTTCTCCACTATTTAGCGTTGTTCTAGCAAATTGAACATTCTTTTTTCATTTATTAATGTTTTATCTTGTTATGTTGATTTTTCGAGTCCTTTGTTTTTTTCAAGTTTCAAATCCAAGCTTTCTTCATTTCTTTTGCTTTTTTAGCAAATCAAACATTTTTTGTCCATTGAGTTTTAATTTATTTTATTATGTTACTTTTTCAATTGACCACTAAGCATTTTCTGCGAGTTCATTCATTTTGGAAGCCTTTCTTCCTTACTGGTGAGTTCCGGGAAAGGCTTTTTCTTTGCTTTCTGTTTTTTTCTTTTTTCCGTCTGAGGGAAAGAACGAAACAGACCTACCTTTATTGTGTTTGTATTTTATGAAGTTCTATTATTCTGCCTCTTGAACGGTTGTCCATGTCATGCTTCTCTATTTTTTTGCAAATATCTATGCATACAATAGTTGTTTTTGTTCAGTATTTGCAACACTTACAACTATTTATCATGACTACAAAAACCACACGTTCGACGCTGCAATCTGTTAATGTCTTAGGAATGGCAAATTATGGACGTAAGCGCCTCATATTTATTCTTTGTTCATGCTCGGTATTGTCTATCAAAAGCATCTATAATATCCATTGATGAACCAATGCGTGAAATTTGGGAGCAGCGTGATCCCACTTTTCATCAAGCGGAATTGGAATGTCTCGGGAGGGAACAACGAGAAATTGTGACGGTAGACGACAGCGTTAAGGATTCTCCTATCATCTTCGAAGAGGAAGAGAAACTCCCTATTGTAGAAGAAGATGAAGATTCAATAGAAAGTAGAGATATGAGTGCGTTTGTTTTGTGTTAAACTATATCATGTATAATTGCCCATGCGCTTTGCAATTTAGCTCAGTACCAGCGCACAGTGTTGTACGCCATTCATCTCAACAACTTGGCCTTTCTAAAGAAGCAATCATTCGTAATGAAGATGCAATCACATTGCTGTACGGCGCCCCTCCACCTATTTCGGTATAGACTAGTCATTTCAAGTTTCTTTATCAAATACAATTGTTTAGTACGATGAGAACGTTGTCGCTCTCAATAAAGAATTACTGCGCGAGTACAGAAGAGACTGCCTTTTTTTGTTGTAACTGTAATGAAGAAATGTATCAAGGGCAGGTTGCACGTGAGAACAGCAATTGTGAGATCAGAGGGTTTGTTGGGAGCTTTTAACCAATTCGTCTCTTATTTCTGCCCTTTAGAGCGTTAATGATAAGAGAGCCAAGAGTACCCAGAGTATAGAAGTGCACACTATCAATGTGATTCCTCAACTGTCGGATGTCCTCACTTAAAACTTCGGAAGAATACTAGAAAAGCATGAGCAGATACATCGAGACGGAGTACTAATACTCGCTTTGAATAACGTAGCATATACTAAGCTTTGCAGGACGAAAGTGAAGATCGAAGTGATATTCGATCTTTTGTGGGCTGTCATAGAGCGATTGAAACAGCTGAACAGTTCCTTCATTCTCATCTGAAGGTTCTTCTCACTGTTTCCATAGACGGATTCGTCCCGAAAAGGTTATCAAAGTAAGAGAGAAGCCCTATATTAGAAGAGTTTTGAAAATTCTACCCTTCAGAAGACAGGTATGGCCTCTTTACCTCCGCGTAGAAGGGCTGCCTCAATTGGGGGGTAACAAATACCACAATGCCCTGCTAGAAGCAGTTTATTGCCGCATGAAACCGTCGGAGAAAATGATGGAGGCGTTGTTTTGTCGGTGAGAGTGGTTTTGATATAAACTGATGTCCAACAAGTAGAACTGTTTTAGGATAGAATCGGAACTCCAAAGCTTGCGAGAGGCACCAATTGGTGATAGAATTTAATGGGAGGACGAGGGATGTAGAAGTGAAGATATTCAAAGGAGTTGTGGACATGGCAGTGAGTGCAACCACAATATCAAGTACTTGTCACAGTCATACATCAATTATCATCTATCACCATTGGTGCCTCTCGCAATCATACAACATAGTTAAGGCTCAGCAAGCGCTATTGGGAACCCCAAGGTGGACATCTGATTACGGATGCTCCGAGTGTTACGTCGAAGGTGTTCGACTAGAAAGACGAGCCTGGATTGCCGGCAATGAAGAAGACACACGTCAAAGAAGTCGAGAGTCTTATGAAGTCGGCGGCGAACTTGGGCAATGTGGCATAATGAGTGAGCACGAAAAAAAGGACTGACCGTTTTAGTAAAACTCAAAAATTATGATTTCAGAGAAAACCGCAACAATGCGCATGATTCTACCGTGCGATTTCATTGGAGATGCGCTACACGTATGCTCAGAAGGGGTGATTCGCGAAGGCTGCGAGGTATGTTCTAACTTCCCAGCAAAATAAACAAAAGTTGAAAAGAATTGTAAAAAAGAGAAAAAAACAAAAAGCTCCGTTTCGTTCCTATCCTTGGACGGAGACTCAGTCAATTACAAGAACCCTCTCCGGAACTCCTCAGCAAGGAAAGAGGGCATAGAAGGAAAAAAATCCGCAAAGAAACCAAAAAAGAGAACTCTCACCTTGAAAAGGCTGAAAGAGTTGGAAACAGCCGAATAGAGATCAGAGAGGCGAGTGGCACAAAAGCGTGCGAAATAAATAATACTCAGGCGACAAACCGCGTTAGAATTTACAATTTGCACGCAACCAAATCGATAGACGAAAATATGACGAAATGTACGCACCACTGATAACAGCGACGGATGGTTCAAAGCGCATGCAAAGAAAAAGATACTCAGGCAAGGGAACCAAATGAGAATCTACGATTATTGGTACGCAGTTAAATTACGGTGTGTGAGAAGGGAAGAAAGCGAATTAAAACAGAAAACACCTGGGAAAAGATAAGAGAACAAATTGACATGGATAGGAATAAGATAGGATATGGATAGGAACAAAACGCATTTGTTTTTTTTCTTTACAACTCTTTTCTCATATACCCTGATTAGCCATATAAACGCCATTCAGACCTACTCAAACCCAAAGCACGAAGTTTCCGGAAATGAGAATATCGCGAGAAAACTTGCAGAAGTTGGAAGATTGCCTCCTTAGCGTTTCCTCGCATGCATATGCCAACAGTCTAATACTCTCAATTGAAGACATGCAAAGCCATGGAGGTTGATGAAGTTTGTAAAATTGTCCATTTTCCTCATTTATGGTTATATGAAGATGATTCAGTTGGAGGAGTTGTTTTTCCCTTGACAGCTGCTGCGAGAATGATTGCCTGTCCAACAGCAGCAACAGCGCTATGGGACTACTGGCTTTGTTTGAAAATAATTTCAAGATCTCGGACGATGACAGCTCGAGATATTGGGATTGCAAAGACAGTGGCCAAAGACACTAGAAATTTGGATAAAAAGCCGGCCTTCCATATATACGATGAAATGCCACGTAAGTGCACTTCGGATACTAGCGTGATGATAGCGGACCACGTGCTTTATTGGTTTTTCGACCATTCCATGACGGAGGAAATCGCTACCTACGGATGCCATACCAGTGTACGACCGCAGCATTTGAGAGCCCACATCGGAGGCTCCAAGTGAATGTCACCCAAACAACCACAAATTATCCTATTTCGCACGTACATTGCAGCATCGAAACATAATCATCGCTTTGGCTACTATTTGCAGCGCAGCAATCGTTAACTCGCAAAGGAGCTTTTTTCTTGCTTCTGTCCTTTTCCAAAGCATTATAATACCTAATACTTGTTGTTTTTTTACGATATCTCATGCTTGTCTTTTCTTTCAACGCTACTTTTGCTAAGATTTTTACCTTTCAAGTCAAAATGAGAAATTCCGATTTTTGAGGCCTACCGTATTTCAGATCAAAATTTATTTGCCTTTACTTTTCGACCTTTTTCAATCTTGTTTCTCACTCTTTTGCGGATTCAATTTACAATTCTGTGTTTCGTTGTCATGCTCATCTCTTCTAGTCATCTTTTTCTGTGATGTAGCTAGTTTAAATTAATACTGTCTGTGATCTCAGACAATCACAGGCTCTCAGCCGGCGGCCACAAAGCCACCGCGAAAACCCACTAAAAGCGCGGTGGCCTCATCGCGGCCACTTTCGCTTCACGCTGAAGCCCTCATAGCAGTCCGCCCGCTGCCAGCTTTAGCCTCCCGCTCATTGCCATATTTGTAGCCCGCTCGCTTCTACAGTTCTCAGCGGGAAGCGGCAGTGAGGCGATAAGGCCACGGCGCTTTTGGTGGGTTTTCGCGGTGGCTTTGTGGCTGCCGGCTGAAAATCTTGTCTGTGTAGCTTCTTGTTATGCTTGGACTACAACGTTGTAACTTCAATTAATTCATTATAACGATGACAAGTAACAATGAAGAACATAACCATCTGGAGATATGACCACATGGAGAAATAGATATGGCCCCAGATGGTTATGTTCTTCATTGTTACTTGCTATCGTTATAATGAATTAATTGAAGTTACAACGTTGTAGTCCAAGCATAAGAAGCTACACAGACAAGATTTTCAGCCGGCAGCCACAAAGCCACCGCGAAAACCCACCAAAAGCTCCGTGCCTTATCGCCTCACTGCCGCTTCCCGCTTTCCTAAAAGATAGGAAGTGTCCGTAGCCCAAAAGCTTAGAGGTTAGCTTAGATCGTATACTACGACTATGTACGGCCACGTTTGTAAACTCTGGATAAAGGTTATAACTAATGAAATGGCAAGTAACAGTTAAGTGGATGAGTACGCAAGTACGCAGTGATACACACGCATAGATTTACGTTCTTTAGAACAGAAAATATACTGATAATAGACCTTGAGGGTACAAACATTGATAAAACGAATCCATATGGGGAGCGGCGACAAAGCAATACACATTCCACCGCGATAAATATATTCACAAACATGAGTGAGGAACTGCCAGTGTTAGCGCGCAATGCAGGGGTTTCTCATGCGAATCAACAATCCATTCGCGCCTGAGTATCGTTCAGGCAACTGTCAGTTCTGATCCAAACCCATTTCCTTATGTTGTGCAACACTTCCTCTGGAATTGTGTGCGCCTTCGTCGGTGACTGCAGCGTCTAAGAGAAACTGTAATTGACTACGATTACAAACATCATGGAATGCCTGCAAAAGAGAGAGTAGTTGGAAATATATAGATATACATCAAAGACAGACATTAGACAGAGAGAAACGCAAGACAAATATGGTACAGCAATTAGTGGAAGTATGAAAAGCCCTAATTTCATTTCTAGGAGGTAGGGAAACTTTATCAAGCCTTGACGATAAAAAGAGACAGGAACTAGTTCCACATCACAGCTGTAAATAACTATCGTCGATTCGTTGACCGCGCGGACTGGACATAACCGCGGAGCACGCGCCGCGAGGTAAAACGCTTGCTCCAATACAAGATCGCCATTGTTCGTGCTCTCGCAACATGTTAACCGCGCCGCATGTGGTCCGCAGCGCTTCAGCAGTCCGTACGGTCAACGAATCGACGATAGCTGCGTTGACGAACGACTGCGTGCCAAACAATTTTCCGTAAAACTGTAAACCTTTTATGTGCTCACTGTACAAGTACAGTCGATTCATTTCATATGATCATGTGTGCACCCGCACACACCGTCCATCTTTGGCGTCCCCATCTCGGATTTGCGATCGCAAAAACGCGAGAGAGTGAGCAATTGCTATCGCTTACATCATTTAGAGATAAATAGTACCTAAAAAGAAAAGAAAACAGCGAGAAAACAACGAATCGCTTAACGGAAGGGTTGCGTCCTCCAAGAATCCAGGATGGGTACGCCAAAGATGGACGGTGTGTGCAATGGCACACATGATCATATGAAATGAACCGACGGTACATCATTGAAAAGGTGCGCACTGTGTTTCGATGAATGCACTTGGCTTCGAAATGAGAATTTTACTTTTTGAAAAGGCCGATCGGTAGAAACACGTGCGACGAAAACAACTTACGCTGTGTGTGGCACTCAGACTAAACCTCAAATCAATCCTTCCTCACTCAATGAACTTTGCGTACAACACGCTGGCGTGGAGTGAGCCGTGATGGTCGTTCGTTGCGTAAAAGGTCATGCTTTCGCGTGTAATCCGCTGAGGCTGAGAGTTTTTTCTCGAAAAAATTATAAACACAGGATTGAAGTAGCAAAGCATAGCGACGCCCTCTAATCAATAAGCATTTCGAAAATGGACGCATGCGAAACGCAATGATGCAGATCTTTGAGCGCAAAGAGAGCACGCTTGTAGTCGAATGATGTTGTTGATAATGTTCAAAGACAAACGGGGCTTTCATTAAGCACTTCTTCCGGTTGGATAGACAGTCAAACATAGAGAACAAAAGAAACCTGATATATAAAGAATCGTTAGCTCAATTCAAAAATCTTCAAATAGCGGGGAACCACGACGAGTCCCGAAGCAAACGCTCTTCCAAATAGCGCCTATGGCCCCGGGCAGACTTCACGCGATTTGATCGTCGCGACTGAATCGCGAGGAGACAACTGTTACAACATCATTCCATGCAGATCAACCTGCATTCGGTTGTGATACTTTTCCAGACCGAAATTTTTGAATGTGAAATGAAAATGAATGGAAATCTTGGCGATTTGGTCGCGACGATTAAGTCGCGTGAAGTCTGACCGGGGCCTATAGGTACTGGTTCACTAGTACTTGAAATGAAGCACTGAATGATAACGAAAATGAAAACAAAGAAAAGCAAAGATGAAAAAAGATTAGGCAACAAGAAATGAAAAAATGACGCGAGCCCACGCTGCCAATCTCGTTTGCCTGCACATCTAACTTTTCTGGTGCGATCAACAATGTCTCGAGCGGGCAACGATATGGCATCCATTTGGCAGCCACAATACGGCGTTATGAATTAAGGCTGCCTGCTCATAGCATTGATGCGGTCCGCTGACAGAAATCTTGTATTCGCAGCCCCATCGTTTCACGGTCGCTGCCAGCTTAACGGAGTCGCTGCCTCATCGTCGCCTTTTGGCTGCTTTTGTAGGAATGAATGCGCTCTGCAGCTATTTTCTGACTCATGGAAGATTACAGCTGCCCGCTGGTAGCCCGTCGCTGCCCGCTCACCGCCATTCCTACAATGTCGTCGCCCGCTCACTGCCACTTTTGCAGTATCGCCGCCCGCTCAGTGAAACTGCCCTTTATCGCCGCCGGCTGAGAGCCTGTGATTGTCTGAGATTGATATGGGCGCATTGGAGTGCCTCTCCTCGCCAATGTGTGGACATTGAAATCGGAATTTTTCCAGCTTAACCATCGCCTTGGCCGGAAATGTACAGTACGTTTGTTATGACGTAAGGAGCTATAGCTATTGTAAATACTTCTTTACTCTTCTTTAGTATTTGTCTTTATTTTGGAGTTCATTCGCTGTGCTGTAGCAGCAAGGGCCCGACCCATCTTTGATGAGTTGGACCAGGACAATGATGAGGACTAGTGGAGGTACGATTTTCTCGCTTTGAGGTTACTGGTAAGTCAGTTTGTTTGCGATATGTTTGCATTATTTTCATAAAGATGTCAGGGTGAAATAAACAGATCAACGAATTAGCGGATAGCCAGGAGCCTGGACTTCAAGGAAAACCAACCACATCTTCCCGCGCCAGGCACAGTACTGTGGACATAAACAACGCAAGCAACGTTTGGAAAATCGAAGTTTCACCTCCATTCCTGGATACAAGTTTGGGCTCAATGGCAAGTGGAACCCAAGGGAAAGAGATGGGACGTTTCAAAAGATTTTTCATCTGTACCGATTTTTACTGACACAGGTGAGCTTTTATGGATTGTTCGCTCGTATCTTCTAATACATGGTGATTTCAAATCACCGCGCCGCCAAGCGAGATACAGCGATACTCTATGAGGATCAACCGCAGGGCGGGAAGATGTGAGGCTTTACGAAACTTACCCGAGCAGGTGGAAGACGCCTTAAAGGCAGTGGCTCGCCAAATCTCAACCCAGTCAACTGCGCCTAACTAAAATTATTCAATGCGCTGATCCCGAAAATCCACTTGTAGAGCTTGAAAACGTCGAAAATAAGCGTTTTTAATACCCTTCCCTTTGGAATTGGACGAGTGGAGCAAGGCCGATGACGCTAAATCGTTGCAGGACCCAATGGTTATAGCGTTGCGGCGGGCAGCCTCCAATGGTGAGAAGAAAATTGCCAACTCGTCCAGTTGCGTGTAGGATTGGCCTGCACGTGTAAGTTTGAGAGCGATTTTCACGGCAGGGAAAACATACTGTGCAACCGGGATTGCTGTTTTCATACTTCGACGATAAGGAACCTAACGCGTTAAAATCCTGACGGTTGGATTTTGCCGATCCACTGCCTTTAATCTGTATGTTTTAAAATTCTGCTCCATTTTACGATAATTGCTTTATTTTAGGATTCGGAGTCGATGTCCTTGGCTTCGGACGCCGGGAGCTAGAGAATGGCGCCACAAATCTTCAGGAATCGACATTCTTCATGGAATTGGGGGGCACCGATGCTGAGAGGAAGAAAGCTTTGAGTGAACTTTAACGGCAAAAAGCAGAGTGAAGGGGCTACATGTACACGGCCCTCCAAAAAGCATTGGAAGTTTTTTACACAAAAAAGATCTCTATTGCAATAAGCTTTGTTTCAGACGGGACATTCGCTCTTACACATTTGACGAGTGCACGGGATGGGTACCAAGCCCACTAAGGCCCGTATGCACGTACATCCCCGCGGGGAGGGGTGGGGATCTGAGAGGGGAAGCGTCATATCTCGCTAGTCTATGTATCTTTCTTCTTCTTTCTCTGACTTGATCTTGAAGGTTCTCATACACTGAACTTGCGCATAACGGATGCCAGGTTACTGCCATACAAGATTAGATATTCACTATTTCGTCTGATCCCCTGGGGATTCCCAGGGGATCATCTCACATTTTCAAAGTCATTTATCTTCCTGAAAGATCAATGAAAACACTGCAAAATTGTACTGTTGATATACTACAATACTGCTGAATATAGATTCCATTTCTTCTGTCGGAAACATGCTCAGCAGTATCCTAATATATCTTCAGTACAATTTTGCAGTGTCTTTATTGATTTTTCAGGAAGATAAATGACTTTGAAGATGTGAGATGATCCCCTGGGGATCCCCAGGGGATCGGAAGAGATAGCGAATATTTAATCTTGTATAGCAGTAACCTGGCATCCATTATGCGCAGGTATAAGGGTATGAGAACCTTTATAAGCACGATAGAGAAGAAGGAAGAAAGGTATCTAGAGCAGCGAGATATGGCGCTTCCCCTCTCAGATCCCCTCCCTTCCCCGCAGGATGTACGTGCATACGGGCCTAAGTTTGTTTAAAGTTGTTAAATACTGTGTGTATTAAGTAGTTTGTTTTGAGAAGCAGGCTAAAGGGACTGGAGAAGAAACGCAGAGGACTGTCATGGATGGCGACAGCAATTCAATCAACTCGGACTAACTCCTGGGCCGCCCAAACGCGTGGGATCGAAGAAAATTTGTATAAACAGGGAAAAATGAAAACTTTTGTGCTCGACATGAAGATGCAATGTCACGCCATGTCATGTCCGCCGAGCGCTTGCAGATGAGGTTTTTGCCATTTACCAGTACGACTGTTGGCGCATACACCTACAATGCCTGCAAGAAAATTAGTTGATTTCTCTGCTGAAACTATAGTCAGGATGAACGAACTGAAATGAAAAACTTAAAAATTGAAATGCCTTTACGAAGCGTAAGCCTACAAAGTATTTGTCAATATTCCTCGCTATCGAGACTTCCTTTAACACATCTCGGACCGGTGCTGTACATGGTGCAGCACGCTGTTTTGAAGGATCCTTTTGACATTTACAGGAGGTTTTCTTCGAGTTCAAGGTTGGTAAATCAAAGATCTAAGCTCCTACTTTTCAAATGACTCTGTAGAGCTGTGCCGCCGAGATTTGTTCAGGAGATATGAGGACAAATCGAACAACAGTTGCAGCAGAGCGCGGCAACGCGAACGACGCGTGCGACGTCGCAACTTTTTTTGCTTCAAGAGAGAAATCGTAGTTTCAATAATGACTGTGTACCGTGTGCAACATACCCTAATTTTCACGCGTACAAAGCGCGGGGTGGTCCTAGCTTTCATGGACCAGCCCGAACACGGCAAAGGACTTCGCAACCAAAGGAACCCCATACCGTGCTGCGTTTTGCCTGACGAATCGTGCGGCATAAGGATCGCTTCTTAAAACACGTTGGGGCGGCTGAGCAGCTCGTTGAAAGCTAGGACCACCCCGCGCCTTGTACGCGTGAAATTAGGGTACATACTTTTAAGAAGCAATTATAACTGAGCTCTTGTTCCTATTTTTCAAAAGCAGTACCACTAGAGCAACAAAATTCAAACACTTCGAAATTCACTCAGAATTTTGGGTATGAAGCTTATCTGATATCCTGATTACCCATTGATGTAGCCCCACAGTTTGCGAAATAAGTTCCTTTTCTTGGCTAACTGCTAAAAGTACGATCTTTTTCCGCCGCGCGCGATTTCGCGGTCCGAAACGTGTTAATGAATCCTCCGTTGAAAATGCCAAGTTCAGCCAGTTCAGTGATGAATTGGAACTGGAAAGTGTGGTGTAACGTAGAAAGTGCTTTCATTCTTGTACTAAAACAAATAAATTCAAGCTTGATTATCGAGCATGACAATGCGCTGCATTATATTGTATTACTGGCCCTCAACATAAGACTAAAAGCAATTTTGACAATGGCAGCACTCTCCCATTCATAAGCTTGCAAAGTATAGATGCTGATGGGATACAAACAGATACAATTACGGGGGCTGCTAAAACCAAACGAAGTTTTTTCTGGAGCCTCTTTTTTGACATTTATATACTTTGCAAGGTTTCATACGTCGGTAATGTTTCAGCTAAAAGTCAACACTACGCAATATCAGAGTAAAAATTTCGATAAAGAAGACTCGGCGATTTACAAATGCTAACGCTTGCAGCCCCCACACAACAGCTCATTATCTAATTCTAAACCCTTCAAAATAAACTTTCCTTGATCTCTACCAAAGTGGAAGCAAGATTGGAAAGCTTGAGTGCACCTTCACCACTTTCAGATGCAAGTAATATCTAAGCTTGTTTTCCTTTATCTCATTTCTCTATGTTATTGAATATCCGCCGATAACATGCAAACTTCCAGGCCTTATGGATGGTATTGTGGTATCGCGGATCACTTTACCTTTAAACATTTGTTATTTCCAAAGCCCTGACTATTTTATTAGGTTGGCGGATAATTTATGTTACACTCTTAGTATTATTTTTTAAAAATCTAATAAACTTTCGAAAATTCTTATGTTTAAGGAGTGGCGGGGTGCAATGGTTTACCCGTCGGTAATGTCAGATCCGCGGTCCGTGCACAAAACACCCACTTTATCGCTGGGAGTACATTTTATGGACATTTTTGTCAGCGGGCTGGCACTCTTCCAGACGATCGGGAAGAGGCCGGGCGATGTGGTATTCAGGCAGGGTATGTTCCACAGTTTTTAGCGAACATAGCGAGATGGCACAATCATGTCCGCACACGATCACACGAGATACATGTTCCGCCATGTCAGCGCACATTGGCACTTTGACATGAAGAACAATCTCCAAAAATTTACAAAAATGATTTCTAAAGAGCCGGTCATACCGGTCAACGATCCATCTCCGCGATGGATGATCGTCGCGACTGGGTGGAAACTAGCGACGAAAACGCGCGACGGATCGCTGATCGCTCGAATAAGGGGGCATACCACCGCGACGGTGTGTGCATTCTTACACTACGTCACATAAATCACTTTCGCACAAGCTCACCTGTCTAATGTAAGTCGAGCTACATGTTTGAACATTCTTCAACATTGAACATTCTTGTTCCTTTTCTTTTTCTCGACATTCTTCAAGAAATCCATTCTTGGACCATGAAAGTTTTCGTAAGGAAAAGAAAAATTCTGCCAAGAAAGGGTACTCGACGACGAAGTGAAATAAAGCCTGAGCGCGGTACCTCTGCCACTAACTGCTTCACTGAGGACCATCTTCGCTGCTCCTTGCATAGGTGAGTTATTGGTTCAATATCGTTACATGTCTCTACACATCTTTTTTTCAATACGTACCATATATCCTTGCAAAGAATTTGGGACACGGAGAGCTCTCTTGTACAAATCCTTGATTACTTTTATCTGCTTCTCATTTGTTTCGTCAAAAACTGCCCTCTCAAAAAGTTTCCAATCGCTCACGCTCCGCTCCAGCAGAGCGCTCGTTTCTGAGAAACAAATTTTGTACCAGCATAAACTTCTCATATAAAAGTCATGAATATCTGACAATCACTGAATCCAGTGCAGATTAACCGCGGAATATGTACAACTAGCTCCTGAGAATTCACAAACAAAAGTCATGCCCGTGATGAGGATACTGATTGTGTGGTAATAAAGAACACAAAGAAACGTTATAATGGTTAATAGTAGAGCCGTACCCACGAAACACACATCAGTTGAAAACCAGATAGCTGGCAAACTTGGGAAGTGTGCAAGGCATTTAGCGTGAGTGACAATTGCTGATAAATCAAAAGGCTTCCATTCACGGAAAACCAATGCACTTTGACAAAACTAAAATGGTTTCCAATCCCCAGACACGAGACCAGCTTGAAAAGTAAAGAACAATCATAAAACTTTCCTGGAAAGAGATCCCAATCCTGGCGATCCATCGCGTCGCGCATTTGAAATGAGCGACGCAAATTCGCTAGGATGAGCGACGATCGCGACGATATCGCTCAAATCGGTATGGCCGGGTAGAAAACGGCCCGCGATGCATCGCGCCGGACAGCTAGCACAGATACGCAGTTATCTCCGGCATTGTAACACTTGTCCTTTGGGAAAGTCAGCGACGCGATGGATCGCTGACCGGTATGACCGGCCCTTAACGTTTTCGTATCAAATCCTTCACGATGCACGCAAAAAGAAAAATTTTCGACGAATTTTTGATTTTTACGAGTTGTTTTTCACCCCCTGCTTTTGGCGTCCTAGCGACACCAAAGTGCTACCATAAAAGAGACGATGCGAAAATATGTTTTAAAAAGAATTATGGGATAGAAAAAACACAATTATTCGCAGAGAAAATAACCAAAGAAAAAATGACAATTTTGAGTGTGCTTATAAAGTTGTCGTAAAGTTGCTGGTTAGTTGTGCATTTGCGGCATCAATCATACTGTTGTGTACGCCCTGCCGTGGCCTACATATGGAGCAACTTTGAAGGTTCTAGAGAACTTCTGGAAATTTTCAGAATTTTACAAAGAAAAGTAACAGAAATTATCCGCCAACCTAATATTTTGATTGCAAGTTGAGGAAGTACCTTAATTTTACAATTACAAAACGCACCTGTTTTTTTTTAAATTCGCCAGGCTAAACACACTAAAATATCTCGCGACCAAAGGATCTTAAACAGTACTGTGTAGTGCCTGAGAGTATCGCAGCACAAGTTTCGTTTTTCGAAACACAACAAGGCAGCTGGGTGGCTTTCTAAAAAAATCGAAAAAGGTGCGTCATGTGTTCGTGAAACTAAGGTAGATGACTTTCCGCTGATTACTAATTTTTAGATATCGAACCAACTTTTTTGTAACGCGTCAAATGTGTAATCTAATTCAAAAACGTGCAACTTCGGCTTGCTACCTAAGTGCGAGAAATACATAATGAAATTACCAGTATGCTTCACGCAGAAGTTTGAGAGCCCACAAAGAATATTAGAGCTCATTGTATAATATATTGCTAACTGAAAAATTAAATAATTCTTACAGTTTCTTCAGTTTGTCCACCTTCTATATGTCGCCCGTATGTTGCTAAATGGAGCCCAATTGTGCTATTGATGTTAATACAAATGTACTACCTTCGAATGAAGCAGCGCTCAACTCATTAGAGAGAGTCCCATTGCTGACAGTGTTTTGAGACTTGTATAAATGGTCTATCTCAAGAGTACCAACAAAATATGAAGTTATTCGTTTATTCTGCTGCTTTAGTTGTAAGTCATTATATTCTCTATAAATGATGCTAGATCAAAAATTTAGCTACTTGCTGTCTTTGGTCAATCAAAATTGAAGAAGAAAGCAAAAGAGAAGAGCAAAATTTGCTTTATTCACTGGGATTACACTCAGATGATAGTAAAGATCCTCTGGCTACGAGCTCGAATGAATGGAGGGTTTCCTTCGAGACGTAAAAGACTTCTGGTATGCAAGCTTTACATCTTTGTAAGATACATACATATACCTTTGATAAAGTCGGTTTTTATATCAGGTGACGCAAAAGCGGGTATCTTGAATTTCGGCATTTTGGGGCTTTTCTTTTGCTTCGGTGATGGAAGGCGAAGAGCACCTCAATTTTTCAAACAAATTAAAACAATTTTTCTCGTTTAAACACAAACCTAACAGCAATATGATCGTTAGTCTGTGTAAAGTAAATTTACTATAATTCTGGCAGCACCCTGCCGTCTCCCACCTCTCTGATTTTGGAGCACGTTGCGAGAATGAAATGACAAGCGAACGTCACCTATAAAGGATTTCCCAAAAATATGTACACACTTTTCAGTCGTTTGTAACTCTCTTCTTAAAAAATCTTTTGCTTACAAGGAAAGCGTGTTTAGTCAAAATGCCTTGTCAGATGAGACCCATACTGCTTTTGAAAGTATTGCGCGGTGGCTCTAAATCTGCTTTCATTATTTGCCAAGCGCCTCTGGACGCTGAGTTATGAACGTTTTTTTGTAACGAAAAATGAGTGCAGAATTTAGTTGAAATCATTTGTCACAATCTTCCCTGCGCTCAGATAAAGCAGTGTTAAGTATTATATTAGCATATTAGACAAAATGTATCCGTTGCGTGAACTGTTCTGATACTCGACACCGGACCATCTGAGCAAATTTGGGCAATTTTGTTCCAGTTTTGCGTTCAATTTTTTGACCCGAAAAACGCCCACAACTCGGCTTCTAGAGGCGTTTAGCAGATAATGAAGGCAGATTTGCAATCATTGTATGATCTCTCCAAGCCAGTATGGGTCTCATCTGAAAAGGCCACTTCGACTAGACACGCTTACCTTGTTAGCTTCAATATTATTTAGTGGAGCAGATTTCAATTTACAAGGGAGGTTCATTTGGTCAGAGTGTGCTTACCGTACTATTTGATTTGACCTAAATTATGCGTTCGTTTTTCGCACCAAAATACATTCATAACTCGGCATGCTGAGGCGCTTGGCAAGTAATGAAGTCAGTTTTGCAGTCAGCGCCAGTGCACTTCAAAGTGATAAAGAACTCTTTTGGAAGGGCCACTCCGACTGATCGAATCCCCCTTGTTAGATTCACACTATGGAACGGACCATCCATTGTTCTTCATAACTGTAGGGTTAGGTGGGAACTTTCCAGCATGCAGCGACATTGTGAGATCCGTTCAAAAGAAGTTCTAAAAAATTTGAGAAGTTGTGTACCAGTGTCACTAAACTTGCTGATTTCATTACACAGCTTTCTACAAGTTTTGGAAGTTTTCATCACATTTTCAAAAATCGCTAAAAAACGTTATTGCGGTCCCAGTGGCATAACTTATAGAAAGAAGCCGTGCGATAAACTGCGAACTTCACATTCATAATCAGCTACTTAGTTTAGCCTAGTAATATATTTTTTAGCTTGATGAGAATCCATTTTGAGGTCAAATATAACTACTGATGGCTCAAAATTCTCTTCAAAGTTGCTACCGTAATCCTACACTAATGAAGTGCGCTAGATTCGCTCCATACTATAATTCTAAGTTGAAGCCTGCTCTACTGAATAGCCTTTTTGCTAAGCAAGAGACCTTGTGGAAACAGAGTACTAACGACTGTGTGTACTTACTTTTGGGACACCCTGTATAAGTGACGTATCAGCTCTTGTCTGGTTATTGAAAATCAAAGCAACGGCTTTCTATCATGTAAAATCAGAGCTGTCCCACTGCTTTTCCGTCACCTTGATAGAATGCATTCGGGCCATGCCCGCAGAAAGTACTGAAGGCGCGCCGAATCTTTTACCCATTATCATTTGTTTTTAGGGGTTCTCTTGCGAAGGCATCGAAAGGGCTTATCAAGCTTATTTGACTGAAAATCATACCGTCTATAATCCAAAGAAGGACGAACTGATCGTTCTATACGAGTAGGATGATTTGCAATGCTTGCTCTCAATACAATGCAAGTCATACTCTTTGCAGGAAGTGCCAAGTGCTGAGTATACCGAAATTCGAAAGAAATTTTCGCCATGAAGTCGACTTAAACTTACAAAATGTAAGTAACTCAAGCAAGTTAGTTTACATAGCACAATGGTAATACATTAAAGAAATATTTACTTCTTGTGGTTGAAAATTGATGCATTTTTCGAAGATCCAAATCATTGTTTATGGTCCATCACTTGTGTGATTCTATAGGTTTGGTTCTCATGCTTCCTATTAGCAATTCTACTCCTTATCCATAGGCTTTATTTATAATTGATGCAAGCGAAATGAACTCTACCCAAAATCTTACAACTTTATTTTAGTTCTAAGGAGCTTATCTACGAGAAAATTCAGCTGAAAATTTGAGCAAGTAAGATATCTTTTTGGAACGCAAACGCTGATTTCTCTGAAATCGAGCGTAGTCTTGATTAATTGAATGCTATAACCTAGAACACTGAATGCTCTGCAATTGCTTTGCCCTCAGTATTTTTATATGGCACCAGAAGGCCAGATCTCATAAATGCTCACTTAAAAATCGTCAAATCAGAAGATTCTGAAATTTGTTTTAGCATTGCAAATGACGATTTTGAAAAGTTTATGTCTTCCGCCCGTGGCTTCGAACTGATGAAAAAGATAATTTTATCTTTGCAATCAATAAGTGTAAAATGAGTGGAACTCTGAGAAGAAGAAAAGAAAAGAAGTGTGAAAATGGCGAAAAAATAAAACTTGAAAAACGGAAACGATATTTCATAACTAGCACTGACAGGAAAATTAGATGTGCAGATCCATAGGTCGAGCTAATTTCGAAACTCCCTTAGCTTGGATACCAAAGCCGAGCACAAATTTGCTTGCGGGTAAAGTATCAAGCAACTGAGAAGTTAATCACGTCGCTCTCATCTTGTATCAATTTTTATCCACTTTTATTTACCAGTTTCTGGTGTTCACCGTCAGTCGATGAGATTAACTAACGACCTTTCAAGTTTTGTTTTTCCCATGGTAGAAAGCGCGAAGGTAGTGAGATTGATGCTGCCTGATGTTCATCCATTGTTATTTTAATCCATGTTCATTAAACTCTAGACTCGTTTCCAGCTTCGCAGCTGAAATTTGCGAAAATTAAAGACTACAGTCAGGGCCCGGCATGGGGAGGCGGCCCTTCTGAACCGCTAGCATTAGCAGCCTAATTACTGCGCGCCTCTGATTGGTCGGCGCTGCCGCGGCTCTTGGGTTGGCGAGAGCTATGCTGTCGTGAGAGACGTCCGAATTGGACTGCAAAGGCATTTTCATGATAAAAAGAATTAAACAAAATTTCGAGTTTCTCATGAAAGTCGAAAATGTTATACGTGGGAGGCTTGGGTAATTTCTTCAGCTTACACGTGCAGACTTCATGGTATTTTGAGTAGGAAGGGCGAAGAAATCACAAAAGGCCAGTAAAAAAACATGCAACTTTTCCAACTTCTTGTCTTCATAATTCAAACATCGTCACTATCATTATTCGTGTGCCTCGCTTGCCTTGGAATGCTCAGAAATATGTGAAAACTCTGATAAATTATAAGAGAGGCGGAGTGATTAGCGCCGCCCGGGCAGAGTACTTAGCGCTAGGACGAAGCGGTTCAGAAGGGCATACACCCCCCGGCATGTGTTCGTTTCCAAGCTTCTTGAAAACGAAATATTTCTTGACTTTCGCGAAGTTTTACAAAGTTCCTTTTGACTCTCAGCCAGGGCTCGGCACGAGCTGGCACCAGGGAAATTTCAAAACGAAGTCCCGTTTGATCTTGAAAATTTCGTACAAAGTCCCCTTTGACCTGTTTTGAAGACCCGTCATTATTTTTAGAGTATGTAAAAGTATGTAGTAGTTCATGCATGCTGATTTCAAGGAACAACTTTTCACAGCTTTCTGAGCTTTTTAAATGGTTGAATCACATCTTAAAAAGCAGAAAAAGCCGATGTTTCGACTGCGGAGAATACCAAGTAATTTTCAGATGGCCATAAAACGCTGAAAACAAAACATTATGGAATTGTTTCTTCTCTATGGTAAACTTTTACAGTGTAGATACATTTTATGTAAAAAAGTATGAAAACTCATGTGAGCAAAGGTCGATGCCAGCTCAGCTGGCACCCAGCTGGCACGGTGCCAGCTAATTCAGAAAAAAGTTCAGCACAGCTTTCATTCACATAAGTTTTCATAAATTTTGGACCATAGTTCGGTCACCCAACGCGCGTGCACACGCCAAATTTGGTGTCATACTATTGCGTTTTGGCTGAAAACAACGCCTGTTTGTTTGATGGACAGCATGCCGGTGGCATGCCGGCGGCATTCTCGCGGCTCTACGCCACCCCGGACCGGAAAAACGATATCCCCTTTGCTTTCATCCCTAAAAAGGATATCCAGCTTGACCCGGTGCCAGCTGTGCCGAGCCCTGCTCTCAGCCCAAACGTGAAAAGTTCTCCAAGACGAAACATCGACTGAAAGAAATGGTTTTGGGGACAAAAACGATATCCATTTGGCTTTTAACAAAGCGAAGTCTAGCCTCTTCCATACGATCTGCGCCCGGCCCTGACTATAATCTTGTACTTGCATCCACTATGCTTACTGTTAGATATCCTGCACCGAGTCCCAGGCTCTCAGCCCACAGTTTGCGAGAAACCGAAAAAATAGCAGTGGGTATTATTTGTCATTTTGATGAACAGCACCACAGCTTTTACAAAGTTCCTATCAGCGGAACAAATGCCCATTTTTAAAAAGATTTAAACAAACGAATATTCGGTTGCCGTTCAGACTGAATGCGAACCACTTACCTGTAGTAAATCCTCAAAGCTTTGATTTTCAAGTAATTGCATTGACACAGGCGAATTTGCAACCAATTAACTTTCGCTGCCGTTTAGGGACGATAAATTGATGTTTTAGTAGCTTGGTTTTGCCAGTCATTGAACAAGAACTATAGCTGCACTCCAAAAGCGCTTCAATACATTAAAGTTCCATTGTTTTCATCTGCTCAGGGCTTGTATGTCAGAGTGTTATTCTGAAGTAAAGTTTGAATAAAACTAAATATCCAATCAGAATTTGTGGTCAAATAAAGCGCATTTCGTTTACAAGAATTATCTCAAAATTTGCTATTTTTAACGGTTTACGGAATTCAAAGAAAATTTGGAATAGCCAAAAATGCAGTTCCAGCACGTAATCGAAACACGTGTTCCAGGTAGCCTTAATATATTTTATAATTTTGTTGTTTTGCCTTGGAATTTTCATCATTTTGCACTTAACAAATGCCTGATAACCTTGTCCTCTTTCAGATGCTATGGCATTATTATGAGCCAATATCCGTTGGGTGCGTTAGTATGAAAACGAAGAACGGCTGTAGAAAAAGTGTTTGTTCCATCACAAATAAAGAATTCGTGCTGCCGCAAAAAGCGCTTAAAGCACTTCTGGGTAATGCTTGATGCACATTGCCACCAAGTCGAAGTCACGGTGACCAATAGTTTTTTGTTAATGTCTGTATTAGAGAATTTTGGCATATTCCGTTATCCGGACCCATTTTCCAAAGGAAGATATTGCTTCTTTCTGTACAGCACATTTATCCCCAACTTCATAGCAAGGAAGGTCAACCTCCTCCCACGTGTCAAGAATTTGACGTATACATATTTTACAGAATCAATAACGATTCCCACTTTTGATTGAACAATTTCAATTGATAATAACTCATTCTGCTTTCAGTGAACACAATAAATTTGCCTGGAACAAAAAAATGTGCTAAGATTTCACCTTTTGAGCATGGAAAGTATTTCAGGTCATCATTTATTGTCTTTCATGGCTAAATTTGCAGGCAGAAACAGTTTGAAAAGGGAGAAAATTTGCTCATTGGTTCTAGTAATCTTTTAAATCATTACTAAAATCAATCAAGGTGTTAATATTAGATTTGGATTGTATTGACTCTTATAAGAAACAGCTGAACGTCCTTTGAGTGATCAAGTGCTTTCGTACCTCACCAGAAATAATTTCAAAAAAAATTCAAAGTAAACCAAAACGTGTCGACTTTTTCATGACATGTGGCAGAGCGGCCAGTAAAGTAATCTATGGAAAATGTTTTCATAAGAAACTTTTGAAGAGATGGAACCGGATAACGAGACAGTGCCAGAGTCTCTTCTTCCTTGTTACAGATTGTGATTATCTTTAATGCTGTATAAAAATAGAACAATAAATAATGTTCTACATTGTGCTGTCAAATGATTATTGCATTGAGGTCTGCAGGTCTTCTTCGAGAACTTGTCTTTAAGTATGCACAACTAGTCCACGTTACCTGTGTGAAAAGTCAGTGGTCAGCAGGAGGGTAACAGAAGTCAAGTTGCAAATCTTTTTTTTTGTAAAAGCCAAGGGATGTTTGACATGCAGCTTCCTCCCTTCCCGCTTCCCCTTCAAGACGCGACACAGAGGTAATAGAAACACGCTGCACGCTAGCAAAAGATTTCTAATCCAAGGCTGAAATAGTATTTATTAGCGCAGGAGCGACTACGATACTCAATTTTAAGCTACTTATAGAAATTTTTTTTCACATAACATTACTTCCACTAATGTTATGTGAAAAAAACTTTGAAAACTCATGTTCCTCATCGGGAATCTTTCAAGACGCCACCCCGACGAATGGGTCGTCATGGAACATTTTTTGTCAGAATATATTTTTTGAACTTCTCTTGCACTTTTTGCGCGGTCAACAACTTACCTCTTGCGAAAAGACCATCAGTTATGTTAGTGTTTCAAAATAGTCCTTAATGACGAAGCTTCAGGAACCAGTGCACAGAGATTGAGCAATACAAGCGCATTAGACTTCAAAAATCATTTAATTGCTCTTTAAAATGAAAAGTATTCAACTTTAAACATATAGGATGAAATGCATAGCAACAAGAGAAAAAACTACTTTGATTTGCTCTGGAAAGCTCAAAACTCCTTTGCAAATTTGTTTCAACACAACGTCACAAAACTTTATAATCAAGGCTTTGTATCTGGAATTTCTGCTGCGACAAATGGAGCACATCGATATTTGCCTTACACTTTGTGCATTGTGGTAAGGCTTTGGCCATACTTTGCCCGTGTTGCCGATGTTACCAGTGTTACTCGTGTTG